AACAACTTCACAAACTTATATATATATATATACAACAACAACATTGATCCTCGGGAGATCTAACGGTCCAACAGAAAAAAAAATATATAACAAAAGTGGGTCCACAATTTGGTCTTGAAGTCTATTTGTCAAACCGAGTGAAGCTATTCAAGCCAAGCAGGTAAGGTCAAAACCAATCAAGCTGCGAGACAGACAAATATATAATCAAATGATCCAATGAACCATTCTACCATATGCAAGTCAAAAGAACATATGAGTCAATTTTTACAAGAAAGTTGATTAAATGCAATGTCAACTCTTATGCAAAATCGATCTAAGGAAAGATTTGGTTCCACAAAATCCCTGACCAACCAAGAGACTCCCCATAAATTTATCATCAATGACTGAAGATTACTTACACTTTATTCATTTGAGTGCTTCAAAGGTAAATAAAGGTTCAACAATAGCCAAGCCAGCATATGAGTTAACTCCTGATCAACTCAAATAAATACTCATCTGTTGAGAATTTGATGAGATAACAAGTATGCTCAAATGAGCCATAACTCAGATTATTAACACTTAAGTGAGTTTGTTTAAAAAAATAATAATATAAATATATTCAAAATATATTAAAATTATATATTTAAAATATTAAAAAAAATATTTAAAAATTAAATCAAATTAAAAAGACTAAAATTATTTGAAAATAATAGTAATAATAATCATAATTTTTTGAAAAATTAAATTTTAAACTATAAGTTAATGATTGAGAGTGTGTTCTTAATTGAAGAGGGCCAAGATTCCCCTCTTTTTTTTTTTTGGTTACATGAGAGGATGCATGACTCCTCATTGAGTCATCATATCCTTCTTTTTTCCTGTCAGTCATTGAAAAAAAAAAGGAGTATGGCAAAGAAAGGGAGACAAAAGATTGGAGTCATCACATGGAATACTTTCTTACTTTACTCGTACCTCGAGTTAAAAAAAAAAAGAAGAAAGAAATCAATTGTTAATCATTTATTCAAATAATTGATCATTTCACAATCATGGCCCCAATAATCTTCGTAGAAGAGGCATAGGACAAGAGGATTATTGCCAATAGATAAGAGCTAGGGTAAGTGGACATGCACATATATTAATGAGCATTGGGCAGTGAAATCTTCTTTTTTAATTACTTTTCATTTTAAACTTAATGTTCTTGCTGGTTGCGAAACAGATAGTGACAAATGAGAGAGAAGATTCCTTATAAAGTGTGCTGTTTGACACTTTGATAATACAAACTAAAATAATAATAA